ACTGTTCAGTAAACCATTCGGCCCGCGATTTAGGCTGGATTTTAGATTTTGGCCCCTTCTCTGATTGAGTTCGACACCCCTATATTAGAGGCTTGGTGCATGAATTCGTGGGGCTGGCTAGCCTGGCCAAGGGGAAGGGGACATGGGCAGTTGGCCAGTTTCCCTGCTGGTTGAACTCCTGATCAAGGGGGAAATTTGCATATTAGCCTTTTATTATATAGGATATACACTGAGTGGCCAGATTATTATGATCTTCACAGATCATAATTATCTGGCCACTCTGTATATATTATTATCATATTATAGTTTTATAGGTGATATGCATCCTGTGATTAGTGTGATTAGTGAAATAATGCAGAATGGAGGTTTAATTGTGTGTGTTCAGAAGGTTTCAGAGAGGAAGTGACATCTGAGTTGAATTCCAGAGAATGAATAAAACGTTGACCAACTGGCCAAGGAAAAGAGAAGGTGAGCATTTTAAGCATAAGGAACAGTGGCATGGAGACATCACAGAAATCATGATGTGCTAGAGGACTGTTAGTGCTCCTAAGGGTATGGCATGGGAGATGAAGAGAGTTGAAGACAAAGCAAGGGAATTAAGAAATTGGAAAGGAAGAAAAATCTTGCATCTCACGCTGAAAAGACAAATTATGTTTACTTAGGGTAGTTCTTTTAGTTCTCATCTCGGTTGTTGTGTTACTCATTTGTAATCCTGTTAGGTTCATTTGTTACTGCTTATATTTCATTTTGAGGTTCTCCCCTCCATGGCATGGTTCATTTAAATTATTGATTTACTTCATATTCCTTATAGAGCAGTTCCTTGTTTTTTTGTTTGTTTGTTTGTTTGTTTGTTTTTACCACTGTACACTACTTCATTCTGTAGGGATACAGCATTTATTCAATTACTCTTCTAACAATGGATGCTAAGCTTATTTCCAATATTGTACAGTTATAAACTGCAGTGACTATCCTAGTGCATATTTACTTTTGTAATTTAAAGAAAATAAAGTTTATCACCCTATTCTATGTTTATATCAGCTCCTATTCAATTGTTTAGAAACTTCTGCATATGAAAATGCTACTCAGTATAACAATCTGGTGGTTGTTACTCCTGATATTGTATTTACCTAGAACATTTCAAGTCACCTTCCAATCTTATCCAAAACTTACTAGCAAATTGTAAATGCTCTCATTAAGAAATCTATGAGGTTACTATAACATATTCTTAAATATCATCCTGTAATGTTTTTATTACTACTACCTCCCTCCAATGTACATTACACTTAAGATGTGAATGTATACAGTATAATGAAACCAAAAAATGCTTTTAAAAATAGTTTTGAAACTCCATTTGATATAATTTGTAATAAGTCTGATGTTCAGCCAAATGCACTATAACTTGACTGGTTATAAATTTAGAAACTTGAATCTAAAAGAAGGAAATCATGCTAGCAAAGCAATTAGGGCCATTAAATACATTTTCCCATCATCCAGCAAGAGGACTACACTAAATCACTAATGTACTTGGCATTTCGATTTAGTGAACATCATTTTAATCAATATTTGTTGAGTAGAGCCCTAGTGTGCGGGATGTGAGCCAAAAGACCACAAGAGAAATTAAGACAGAGGTTTACTATTTACAGATCCTGGAAGAAATATACCACACAGGAACAGGCAGAGAGTGACCAGGCCTGGGCACATACCTTTCTGAGAGTGCTTTGAGGTTCAGGGCCAAGGTAGGACCGGTCAGTGTGAACCAGGAGCAGGGTCTTGGTCCGTTGCTTAGGTGGTTTTATCTAAGGATCTCACAAGGAGAAGGTGCTGGGAGGCAGGGAACTTACATTTACTTGTCACCACAGGCTGTTTCTAGGGTTTTAATGTCAGTGTCAGGTCCTGGCAGGTTGCCTGGCCTAACAAAATGGATGCCGAGGCAACAATGCTAAGGCGTGGCTTAGCTGAACTCTTGATAAACACGCGTGAATTGAAATCTGCTAACCACTATTATAATCAATATAAAGTTATTCATCTGAAATCTATAAAGACTAAAGTAAAATTTAAAATGGTTTAAAACAATGTAAGTTGTTTTATCTTAGAGTTTTATAGGTTGGAAGTCAGATGCAGGTCTCAGTGGGCTAAGGCCAGGGTCTGTTTTCTGTGGAAGGCCCTTACTGTTACCAGATTGTATCATCTGCCCATGAGTCATTCCCCTGCCCCTTTCATCTTTAAAGCGAGCACCACTGCATCTCCGTGACAATTCTCCCTCTGCTTCTCTCTCTCTCTCTTTGGCTCGCTCTTCTATGAAGAGTGATGACATTGGACCCATCTTGTCCATCCAGGGTGATATTCCTATTTTTAGGTCAGCTGACTGGCAACCATAATCTCATCTGTAGCCTTAATTCTTTTGCTATGTCACCTGACATTCATAGGTTTCAGGGTGTCCCAGCCCATGGTCCTTGGCGCCAATTCAAACACCGACAGGAATCCCCAACGTGGGGTAGTGAAGAAGACTGTTCAGCGCCAACTCTTGGACTGTAGTGCAGCCGGGCTGTGGGCTGTGGGCACAGCAGGATGGGGCCCAGCGGGGGCTGCGGGGCAGTAGGGCCTGGCCCCTCTTCAGCTGCGCAGCTCGGGACCTCATTGTTTCCCGCCAGCTGGGAAAAGCAGTGCCGCTGTGGGGAAAAGTGCCCTTTCTCTGCCAAGGGGAAGATGGTTTCAGTAGACGGAAGCTCACGCCCCTGGCCCCCTCATTGGTCAGAATAGGTCCACTCTGATTGGTCAGAGCTGCACAGCTCCCATTGGATGGGAAAGCTTAGTCCTATTGATTGAAATAGGATTCTAGGAACCCTTTATGAGGGCTCAGATGCAGAAACGGAGCAGCCAGCCAGGTCAGTGCAGAGGCAGGCAGTTCAGCAGCGGTTTCTTCCTAAAGGGCAGTTTGCCTGAGAGGCCCTTGTACAGAAATGGCTGCTAGGCTCTCCCTCCCTCCCCTCCCCTCCTCTCCCTCCTTCCCCTCCCCACCCCTCTCCCCTCCGTCCTTCCCCTTTCATCCCAACTTCTCCTCCTTCCTTCCCTCCCTTCCTCTCTTTCTTTCTCTTTCTCTTCCTCTCTCTCCCTTCCCTCTCTTCTCTCTCCTCCCTTCCCTTTCTCCCCTCCCCTTCCCTTCCCCTCTCCTCCCCTTCCCTCCTCTCAGCCCAGTTAGCCACCAGCAGCCCTTAGTCTTGGAGTTCACGGGGAACATTTTCTTAATGAGGAAAATTATTTCCTTTTTGTGGAATTCTTATTTTTATTGCAGTAGATCTTTAAAACATTTTTATTGATTGATTTTAGAGAGGGCAAGAAATGGAGAAACTTCGATTTGTTCCACTTTATGCATTCTTTGGTTGACTCTTTAAAAAAAATATTTTTTTGGTCTCAGAGAGAGGGAGGAAGCGATAGAAACATCAGTGATGAGAGCGAATTATTGATTAACTGCTTCCTGAACACACACACCCATACCCCCCACCCATCCCGTCCCCCACTGGGGATCCAGCCTACAACCCAGACATGTGATTTGACTGGGAGTCAAACCATGCTCAACCACTAAGCTATACCTACCAGACTTGATTGATTCTTCTATGTGCCCTGACCAGAGATTGAATTGTCACCTTGGCGTATCAGGATAATGCTCTAACAAACTGAGCTACCTGGCCAAGGCCTGTAATGTCATTTTTAAAGCATTTTTTGAGAAGTCATAATTTCAGCATGGAAACCTCAAAATGAAACAGCAAGTAGTCATTTCTACTGTAAGTAGAACACAGGAGGGGCTGCTAATAGCCATTTGACTACAATCCTGTTATAGAAAAATAATGTATTAAGGCAAAGCAAGGAGGTAGTAGTGGTGCTAAAGGTAGTAGTAGGTAGCTTTGGCAATAGAAAGGAATGGAATAAGCACAGAGTTAAAGGGTTATTTTGTTATTTTTACATAAATTGCCCAATACCTAGAGATAATAAAACAAAACCTCCCGCACCAAATATGAATAAGATTTGGGAGATTCTTCTTTCTTTCTTTTTTTTTTTTTAAGATGAACTTATTGGGGAGACAGCCTATCTAATAAAGAGGGAGTATGCTAATTGACTGTCACAACCTCACAAAGATGGCAGCACCCATGGCCAATAAGGAGGGGATATGCTAATTGAATGCACTCAAAGATAGTGGTGCCCACAGCCACAAGATGGTGGCGCCCAGTCCCCTCAGCCCTGCTGGGCAGCAGGTGTGCAGCATAGTCGGGCCCACCCCCAGGCGGGTCTGGCTGCTTCACGTACCTGCCTCCAGAGTCCCCCAGTTCCCTCAGTTGCCCAGGGCCAGCCCCAGGTGCAGGCAAGGCTCAGATGGCGTCTGTCCAGTCACCCAGGGCCAGCCCAAACTTAGGTAACCAGGGCCGGCCAAGGCTTGTGCTGCCCCCGAGGGCTCCTGGACTGTGAGAGGGGGCAGGCTGGGCGAAGGAATTCCCCCATCCAGTGCATGAATTTTCATGCACCCAGCCTCTAGTTGGTTAATAAAAGTATATAGGTTTAAGGTGTATAATCTATAGTACATAATCTGTATATTGTATTAGATAGATTTCTTGTGTTCATATCCTGTTTTGACCAATTATTTAGGCTTTCTGTGCATTAAATTCATCATATATAATATGGGAATTGTACTAGTCACAATATCATAAGGTTATGTTATAAATAAATGAATATTTGTAAAGTGCTTAGAACAATATCTTTCAGTGTGTTTTTCAAAATAAAAATAAAAATCTACTGATAGGGAGGAAGACTAGGAAAAGAATACAAATAGCTTAATCAGGTAAATCAGTTGAGTCTATTTTTTTATTTAAGAAATTTTATTTCTAAAATCTATTCTTAACACACAAACATAGAGTAAATTCATATTATCATGTATTCATGTTTTCAGAGCTAATGATTATATACATCCTGGAACTAGGTGGTAGCATTTCTACTGCTTTTGTTCACAGGATATTCTGAATAATCTTGAATCATGTGACCTGGAGGAGGATGACCTTATGCTTGATGTGGATCTGCCTGAGGATGCATCTCTTGAAAATGGTAAGTGGGGACAGTGTTGAATCTTCAGAGACATATATCAATAGTTGAATTATTTGATGATAAGCCAATTTGATATTTGTTATTTACAGAGTTCCTAATCTCAGTAGAGGAAGATTGTGTGTGTGTGTGTGTGTGTGTGTGTGTGTGTGTGTTTTCCAGGACCAATGATCACCAGCTTCCCAAGTACCAAAACATTATGCTTCTGAAACCTCTTGATGTTGATTCTGCACGTAGAGCAATCAGGCTGCTCTGCGTGTGCCACACACGATAGAAGTCCCTTTTTTAAGGAAGACTTTTTAGACTGAGAATTCAAAGTGATGTTATATAAGTTCATTGCAAATTTATTTAAATGTTTAAAACCTGATTTTGTAGGTAGATCTTGGTATAATTCTGTATGATGCAATAATACTGTATACCTATTCCATAAAGTAAGTGGTAGCTAGGATTTGGCCTTTTTTCCCTTATATACCAAATTTTTTCTCATTTTATCTCATTTTGATTCCATGAAGAAGTACATTTAGAGAAACAGATAACATTTGACTTGAGAAATATCAGTAAAATATCATGGTTGATAAATATTTTTAAAAGATTAGTTCTGGGAAAATTGTAACCTGAATTAATTATTCTATCATTTTAATTACCAAGTCAAGTCTGTCTTCCTGTGTAGACCCCAGTAAGTGCTGGAGTCGGGCTTTAGATAATCCATGCCAAAGGAGCCTGGCTGCTCTTGCCCCCATTGACTTAGCATTTGCAGGATTGCTATCTTGAGGACTGGTCAAGGACCAGAGATCAGCTAGGAAAGCCCCTGGGACACAGGTTGAAATGGGGATCCTCTTGGAAAGAGAAACCAGCTCCAGAGATATTTCAGTCAACATTTGCCGGTTTCCTCAGGCCTCCCAGGACCAGGGATGAATTAGGGTGGAGAGGCTGAAAGAGTGCTAGGATGTTTGAGGGAGGGTAGATGTTTGTTTTCAGTGCATCGCTGAGGTATTAGGAGCCGTTGCTGCTCATATTTGTCATATTAATCAGGCTTTTTTTGTGTGTGTGCTGCCAGGATGCTCTGTGACAGTTAATCTCAAAATCTCAGTGGTTCAAAATAGACGTTTACTTTTCTCATTCATGGATCTGTGGGTTAGCTTGGACAGGTTAGGCTATGGGTCTGAATTCATGTCTCCTTGCTTTCATTTTGAGACCAGTCTGCTTGGAACAGGTTTCTCTCATGGCAGATGACAGGACAGTAGGGTGAGCAGAGACCTGCATCCCTTTGTCTCTAAGAACCAGCACTGTCAGTTCTGCCCCAGTAGGGCGGGGAGGGCCACACTGTTGGCTGTGAAAAGCCCTGCCACCGAGGACATTAAATGCATAGTTCTACTCCAGGAGGAAGGGATGCGCTGAGATCGGTATCTGCTCTACCTGCTGCGCCTTCTTGTGGTTTTGCTGTCATTTGGGATACTCGAGCAACAAAAGCTGAGTTCCAGTCATCTGAGAAAGAAAAACCACAGCTAACACCCAGAAAGAAAAACAGAAAAACAATAAAACTCCCAGAATTAGAGTGGCCAAGGACAGTGGTCGGCAAACCGTGACTTGCGAGCCACATGCGGCTCTTTGGCCCCTTGAGTATTCTAATGCCACTTTTTCAAAATAGACTGTCCTAGGCCGAAAACTGACTTCTGGCATGGGCCACGAAATTTCAATCGCATTGTATGCATGTGGCTCGGAGCCACGGTTTGCTGACCACTGGCCTAGGAGATAATAATGAGAGCACTTAGTGAGAATCAATTGCAGACAAAGCTTTCTGGAGCTATAAAAGAAGGCTTCCCACAGAACAGTTCAGTAGATGACAAAAAAAAATAGCTGTTGTTGAAATCTGAGTTAGTACCTGGAAGATCAAGTAGAAAAATATTGTAGAACAGAGGAAAAACCTACAGTATTGAAAATGATATGGGAAGAATGAGACTTCCTGCCCAGGTTATGTATGTGAAGTTTCAAGGGCTGGTATTGAGAGACCAGGGATCTACCTCCTCGGAATAAGTCACCTCCTAAGCAATGCATTTTCCTTTGGCAGAAGTATAGCCACTTCTTTTTGGGAACCGTATGCCCTTTCTTAAAACAGGAAGTAAAGATGGAGTCAATCTTAGAGCCTGCCTTATTTTTTGGTAACAACAAAAAGTTATCCACATAGAATATAAAAATGTGATCACAGGGAACTTTATTGTTTTGAGGTCTTATTTAGGGACTTGGGAAAAGTTCAAGGGAATTCCTAAGGAATAGCTCATGTATATTACAGATTTTCCTAGAAGGCAAACAAGTATTAGCTATTTTGAGTTAATGGATACTAAAGAAAGCAGAACATGGATCTAAAATATATTGCCTTCAGAGGACCCAAAGATAAAGTAGCATTTAGATTTGGTGCTACAAGGAAGCAAGTAGTGACTGTCTTTATAGCTCTGAGGTGCTGAATGACACTGTACCTACCCACTGAGTGTTTTGATTAGGAGAATAGGAATGTTATGAAGACTGGTACAGTGTGTTTTTAAAATATATATATATTTATATTGATTCCAGAGAGGAAGGAAGAGGGAGAGAGAGAGATAGAAACATCCATGATGAGAGAGAATCATGGATAGGCTGCCTCCTGCATGCCCCCCACTAGGGATTGAGCTCATAACTCGGGCATGTGCCCTTGACGTGAATCGAATCGGGGACATTACAGTTCACAGGCTGACACTATCCACTGAGCCACACTGGCAAGGGCTGATACAATGTTTAAGGAGTCTTCTGATATACTTCTGACTATTGTTTTTAGTACCTTTAGATTCTGGTTTCTGAAGCTATTAGGGAAATTTGGGTCAAGTTTTTGGATGGGTCACTGTGAACCTGCATGGATTCCGCCCACTTAGCCTGCCAGTGTAGGTAGAGTTTTTGCTAACAAGACGACTGGCACCTTGTTGAAATCTTCAATTTGAATTCAAGTTTACTGTGACTTCATTGTGATAGGGGACTCTTCTGTGATTTTAAGGAAGAAGTTCTGGGAATATTAATCTGGTAATTGCATTCGTATAGCAAATCATTACCTATTAAGCCAGCACAGAGGAGGAAAGAATGTCCTTTGGTCAAAGATTTGAGAACTGTTTGAGAGTTATTGGAGATATTCACATCTGAGTGGTTTGGTGACACAGAGGGAAGTTATGTAGAAGTAGTAGGTTAATATTGTAGTATCTGAATTAACAAAATATTTTCAATGTTTTCCTTTAATATTGAGAGAAATTTATCTTTGAGTTTAAGGGTAAAACCAGAAATAGGGAGCTTGATTTCTTCCTCAGAACACTTTGATTCATCATCCACTTTACTTTTTCTATTTTATTTTTTAATGAAATATAGGACACTTATTTTTTAAATGCCCTTCTATTTATTGCATTTATAAATGTATTCAGAGATTTCTTCTTCCACTATTTAACTGAGTATGGAAGCATCTAATTGTTATATGTGAAGGACATCATTTTATTGAGTCTTATTCTACTTTTTTCTAATGCTCTTTTTGGGTCTTGGAAGTCTGGGAGTGAGGCTATTTAAAGCATTTTGGCCTTAAAATCCTTCCACTTCTATTATCTACTCCTTAATATTATCAAACTAGAGGTCTGGTGCACGAAATTTGTGCACAGGTGTGTGTGTGTTCCTTAGCCCAACCTACACCCTCTCCAATCTGGGACCCCTCGAGGGATGTCCGACTTCCCTCTCACAATCCAGGACTGCTGGCTTCCAACCTCTTGCTTGCCTGCCTGCCTGATTGCCCCTAACCACTCCCTGCCAGCCTAATTGACACCTAACTGCTCGCCTGCTGAGCTGGATTGATCTTAACTGCCCTCCCCTGCTGGCCAGGTCACCCCTAACTGTCCTCCCCTGCAGACTTGGTTACCACTAACTGCCCTCCCCAGCTGGCCTGGTCACCAACTGCCCTCTCTTGCCAGCCCGGTTGCCCCTAACTGCCCTCCATTGCAGGCCTGGTCCCCACTAACTGCCCTCCGCTGCAAGCCTGGGCTCCCCCACCCCAACTGCCCTTCCCTGAAGGCCTGGTCTCCCCCCCCCCCCCCCCCCCAAATTGCCCTTTCCTGCAGGTCTGGTCACCCACAACTGCCCTTCCCTGCAGGCCTTGTCACCACTAACTGCCCTCCCCTGCTGGCCAGGTCACCCCTAACTGTCCTCCCCTGCAGACTTGGTTACCACTAACTGCCCTCCCCAGCTGGCCTGGTCACCAACTGCCCTCCCTTGCCAGTCTGGTTGCCCCTAACTGCCCTCCACTGCAGGTCTGGTCCCCACTAACTGCCCTCCCCTGCTCCCCTCCCCCCCGCCGCCAACTGCCTTTCCCTAAAGGCCTCCCCCCCCCCCCCCCCCAAATTGCCCTTCCCTGCAGGCCTGGTCACCCACAACTGCCCTTCCCTGCAGGCCTGGTCCCCTGCAACTGCCCTCTCCTGCAGGCCTAGTTGTCCCCAACTGCCCTCCCCTGCAGGCCTGGGTCGTTCCCCCCTGCCCCCGCCCCCAACTGCCTTCCTGTGCCGGTCTGGTCACTCCTAACTGCTGCAACACCCCCCCCCCCCCCCCCCCCCCCCCATAGGCCTGATTGCCTCTAACTTCCCTCCCCTGTCAGCCTGGTCACCCCTAACTACCCTCTCTTACAGGCCTAGTCCCTCCCAACTGCCCTCCCCTGCAGGCCTGATTCCCCCAACTGCCCTCGCCTGGTTACCCCTAACTTTCCTCCCCTGCCAGCCTGGTATCCCTAAATGCTCCCCCCTGCAGGCCTGAGTCTCCACCAACAGCCCTCCCCTGCAGGCCTGGTCACAACTAACTGCCTTCCCCTGCAGGCCTGGTCACAACTAATTGTCCTCTCCTGCAGGCCTGGTCACCCCCAACATCCCTCTGCCGCTGGGTCATCCCTAACTGCCCTCACCTGCAGGCTTGATCGCCCATAACTGCCCTCCCTTGCAGGCCTGGGCCTTCCCACAGCCCTCCCCTGCTGGCCATCTTGTGGTGGCCATCTTGTGTTCACATGGGGGCAGGATCTTTGACCACATAGGGGCAGCCATCTTATGTGTTGGAGTGATGGTCAATTTGCATATTACTCTTTTATTAATAGGATAGAGGCCTGGTGCAGGAGTGGGGACCGACTGGTTTCCCCTGAAGATTGTCCTGGATCAGGGTGGGGGTTCCCTTGGGGTATGGGGTGGCCTGGGCGAGGGGCCTGTGGTGGTTTGCAGGCTGGCCATGCCCCCCAGTGACCCAAGCAGA